GTGCACTCAAGTGTCTGTTGCACCGATATAACCTGGATTTAGAAGGACTTGTTTCATGATTATGGTCGAGGTTTACTGCATTACTTCTCCAATTTCCAAAAGTATCGGAAGATCTAGAAATCCTAGCCTTACAACCCATTTTAACTGTGGGTTGCGGCTTCAAAGAATCGCTACTATTATTGTTTATTCCGCCTTCACGACTACATGTCAACGTCATGTATCTCACAACTCCATCATCTCCTTTTTTTGAATTCCTTTTCTTAATTGGAAAACCCACCGCATAAGCATATTTCTTGTAGAAATCATACATATCTACTTCACTTTTAAACAACATACCCACTTCGGGCACAATTACACCATCTCCGCTTGATGTTACACCTTCCACTACATTCACGGACTCCAGCAACTCAACATTATCAGATTGCACTAAAACATCGTCCTGCTTGTCTTGCACATTCAAATCCATACTTTATTACGCTGTGAAAAAAAAACAACATTCATGTTCAGTGCCATGTTTGCAAACAAAAACGTTACTTCATGCAACTTCTTTTGAAACTAAGCCAAACATGTACCATATGTTAAAAACAGACTAAAATATGGAGGGTGAGTCACAAAACTTTATTTAGTGCCAGCCATAACAGCACAAAAATTCATCCATCTTTCTTTTAACTTGAAATTCTTTTTCCAGATTGCACAAATGAATTAGAGAAAAATAATGGTTTTAGATCAAATAACCAATGACCAGAATAGGGAAAATGATGTTAAGGGCAAAAGATAGCGACGAAAATTAACTCACGCCTGAAATGATGCTGCGGAGTGGAAATGGACAATAGAATTCGGCTTCTGTATGAAGGGCTCAAACTCCTGAAAATGCAATACTAAACATAATTATCTGCTGCAATAACATGAGTACAGGTTCAACTAAAAACGGGAGCAAGGCCATGAAACATTAAACATCATAAGAAGTACATACATTGAAATTATGAATAATTTATTGCATTCACCTTCCACCTTGCCGGCAGTAGCAAAAATGAAAGGAATAACTTCACAATATCTTCAGTCGACCACGACAACAAGCTCCTAAACATTGGGCTTCGACGGACAAGAACAATTAAAAAAAAAATTGGGTGGCTCTCCTTTCATGTTGTAGAAACCCGAAGGTAGCAAAATCGACGGGATATCTACCACATTACCGGAAGTAGCAAAAATGAAAGGAATATCTTCCCAATATCTTCCCTC